GACAATGGATACGCACACTTAGGTTTTTACTAAAATGCCGGTTTACTTGGACCACTTGGAACAATATTTCCCAAGAGTCTGAACCCAATTTATACACCGGGAATAACCTAGTAAGTCTGTTCAACTAAACATTGATAGTTGCAGAGAGGGTCTCTGAGAAAAATTTCCTTCGGTCCAGTTACAATTGGTTCAAATTTCATATCCACAATGATTCTAGGAGAGCATTAAGTCAATAAACCTAGTTGCGTTTTAAACTAAAGCTCAAAAAATTTCGAACATATACATCATTTCCAGCGATGAAAATTTGAAATGTATCAAGCTTTTGTGATACCTCGACTTGAGTCGCGTAATGCTTACGTTTTTTGAAGCAAGCTTTTAAGCAACGAAACTTCGAAACATTTCAAAATATTCAGAATACTGGCTTTGTTTCGCAAAAACGAAATTGTTTCAAACTTTTCAAGTTTTGTTTCGGCTTTAACAAATTCGATTAAAACTCAAGTCATTTGAAGTTAAATAACTATCAGTAGGACGCTAGAAAGGTCCAAAACAATTAAAACTTTTTAACGCAATCAATAAAGTTCTGAATTTTGATCAAACTGAATTTTGATACACAGAGGCGAAGCGAAGCATCGCACCTTTTGCGATACAACACAATCATAAAAAGAGTCGAAAAAAACTAGGTGAACCAAAATTTTCGTATGTCTCGATGAAGGACACCTATGATCCAGCTGAATCTAGAACTACGTGTTTGAAATTTTTGAAGTTGTTATACGGATGCGGGTAAAAAATGCGCAACTTCAAAAAATGGACTTTTCCGAAAACTTTACTTCTTTCTCTACTATAATAAGAAAAGAAAACTTTTGAGATTTTGTAATTTTCCCTAAGACATAAAATTTCTCTTGCAAAAAATCAAGGATTAGCCGCCTCTGCAGCAAAATATCGCGCAACCACTTCTTTCGATTTTTGTCTCAGATTTGAAGGGTAATTTTTGAGAAAAGTCAACAATTTTCTAGAAACCGGTAAAAGTTCAAAACTTCTGTTAAAAGCAAGTCGTGGCTGCTGAAGAAGAGAAGATTCCTAAAATCAAATTTCTCTTTTAAAAACTTAACCTGAGAATTGGCACAAAATTATCGAGAAAAGCCAAAAAACGGTCAGCAAATCAGAAAGTTGACTTTCCCAAGGACGATAACTTTTTGGTTAAAAAATAGTGAGAGACCGCTAATGCAGTCCGTTGAAAAATCTTAAGAGACAACTTGAAAAAGGTTCAAGAAACGGTCATAAGAACAAAAAATTTGACTGTTCCGAGGTACAGAAAAATTTATGTAGAAAAACTTTGGGTGTAGCCACTTATGGAGGGAAACTTTTCAAATAAGTTCTATTAATTAAAAGCAGAATCTCAGATTTGGTAGTTTAACTTTTAAGAAACCGAAAAAATCGAAAAATATTGGTCAAATATTCCCCCGGAGACTTTTTCGAAGACTGTAGACAAATGGGCAAGCAAAAAAAAACGGAGTATGCAAACATGAACCCAACTTGAGAAAACTGGATCAATAAGGAAGTTTTCATTCCGCCGGGAAATCTTGAAAATAAATTCTACTTTCGAAACTAGATCTTTCACGGTTTTTCGCGCCATTTCCACGTTCACTTTTACAGAGTGCTCTTTAGGTCACTTTCAGCAGATAAATTTCAATTGAACTCAAAAAATGCAAAAAATACCTAAGTGCATTCATAAATGCATCAATATGTATGAATGCACATCTGTAGTTATTAGAGACTTTAAAGACTTCCTGAATAAAAACAAAAAAATCAGCAAGACCTATATAAGAGTCTTCACTACGCTCATTATATTTAAAAAGAGACGGAAAACGCAGAGGAATATGCAGGCACACAATAATGTAGGCGGTCTTTCTATGCATACCCCGTTTTCAACATCGGTAGAAACGTTTTTCAAAAAAAAAAATTGCAAAAACTGATAAAATTAATTTAAAAAAACTAATCCCATACACTTTCATAATACCTGTTTTTATCAATCAGAAATTATAGGAAAATATGCCAAGCAAGACATTTGAAATTCACATTAGCAACTGAGCAAGACTTACGAAGCGGAAACACGGCTGACAACCTTTGAGCAGACACCAATTGAGCCCAAGCAAAACTGATTTTGAAAAAAAAATCAAGTCCCCCTGAAACTACGATGTAGTAACTAGTACCCAACCAGTAGTTAAATTTGAGTTTTAATGAAATTGAGCATGTAAGCTGCATTTGGATTCAACTGATTTTGTTATTAAACTAGTTAATAACACGAAATAAGTCTTTATTTAGCGTAATTATTTTGCTTCTCAACAAGTGTCTGTTAAGTTGAATTTCAGCTAACCGGAAAGTTTAAACAAATTTGGATCAACTTCCATTGAAAAAATCAACTATAAACTAATAGAAAAAACACATAAGATGAATATGGCGAGAGGTTTAAGGCCGACTCCCAATAAGCCGAAACCACCAAGAAAATAATCGCGACCTGCTATAAATCATCGGCGGAACATGTAGGATGTAGATTAGTGTTTTAACGCTTCTAAATTCTTTCTAAACTGACCAATTTGTGAACAAATTTAATTACGAGAAAAAAGTCTAGTACTCGGTTGCAATACCCTTGCTTACCGCAAGGGTAAAAAAATTGAAGAAAGTATGTAACTCTTGATTTGATATCACTTCTTCAATCCCAGTTCTTTAAATATCAAACCCAGTCCTTAAAATAAAACGGCCCCTTCCAAACAAAAATAAAATTAAGAAGAAATGAAAATTAAGAGAAATGAAAATTAGAACAAAAATTAAAAAATCTATTGTCGACAAAAATTGTACAGAATGTGCAATAACTCATGAAGTCATACACATTCACCAGAAAGTATGCTAAATACAGCAGGCCGCGCAGCCAATGTAAGAGTTCAAATGTTCTCATACAATACCAACAAAAACTAATAGAAAAAAAATATATACCAAACTCCAGCGCTAAAAATCTACGAAAGTGTTTCGCACGAGCTCGTACCGTGCACCCAAGACATATACGCAACTACTATACTAAACGTCTTAACTGTCCAGCCAAAAAACTATAAAACACAATTAATTAATATATAAAACACCGATTACCACCATTTCCACAACTCTGTGAAGTTCTTCACGAGAACGAAAAGTCAGTACCCGGTTGCAATACGGTGCTCATCGCTAAGGTAATCAAACTATCTCAAAACAAGTAAAATGTATCTGTGAATAATTCATAGTTTGCTTTGAACTTTTTGGCTTTTGACAGTTAGTTTTGTTGAAAAATGCTTTTTTTCGTTGATTTGACACATAAATTAGAAGTGAGCTTTTAAAAATTAAGTGTTGACCCGCTAACACAAATTTAAGCGCAAAAATTTCCAAAAACAAGGATTTTTTGTCCGGGGGGGGGGGAAACATAGCGCAATACTAGGACTAAATAATTGGCCTCACGTAATGCGTTTAGGAGAACAATCATTTGGCCTCAATTCAATTTGGAATACTTTCTCAGTCGGATTAATTCGCCACCTATGCTGCGCTTTGAAATTGCGCGTGGTAAGCGCATAAATTATTCCAAATAAGTTAACTGACAAAATTCTAACTTAACATAAGAAAAATCTGCACACAGTTGATATATTTTTAAAGCTCAACCTGAAGACAACAAAACTACACATGACGCATCAAAGGCTTTTCTTGAGGTGCCCAAAAATTAGAGGAAAACCCAACAAAGGCCATAGTTCCTTCCAACACTTTTTGACGTGGTTCGAAAACCGCGGAGACTACGGGACTTGACTTCGGGTCTGCAGATCAAGTGTCACTTGCCTTGACTATCTAGTCATAGCATCTTTGATCAACCAACTTCCCGCGAATATGATTCTTAAATACCAGAACACAAAGATGAGCTTTAATAAAGTTGACATAGCTTGAACATATCCAATAGAGTTGAATGAGTCAATGAATGCAAGCAAACCGTAAAAAAATGTCTGATTTTTGAAAACATCTCACCAAAAATAGATGCCCTTCAAGCTCTTTGAATTTCTAGAGCAAATTATGACTGACACTTTATTGATTCAATTAACCCAATTTGAGGAAAATGGATCAATACGTAAAACTTATATTTCGCTGGGAAATCTGAAAGTTAAGTTCCATTTTCAAAATTAGAAGTCGATCACGTTTTCCGTGATCTTTACACTGCTTGCTGGTGTTTGATTTCCTTTAAACGCAGGAAATGAACTGAGCTCAAAATAAAACAAAAGTCAAACCGAAAAAAGTGAATTTGAACCTGAACAAATTTTCAGACTTTTCCTTAAGAAAATAAAACGAAAAAAAAATATCATCGCGATCTATATAAGAGTCTGAACTACTTTCATAGATCATTTAATATCTTTAAATATTGCATTAACTTTTCTTGTGATTTTTGCGTTAGGAAACCGACCGGCCGTATATAACACTACGAGCACGCACTCCCTTTTTTTAAAAGAGCAGATCCCTGGTGGTACCTATGACGGTCCAGCTAGATTTAAAGTATTGAGATCACTGTTGTGTAATAAAAAACATGTTTTCCTATACTGTTTCTTAACCAAAAAAAGTCTAAATTTCGTGATATATCGAAATAGACACCGTATAAAACTAGATATTTCGACTATTGCGTCTAAAAATAGTAGCGTTTTTTAAATTTTCCAGGCTTCTGGTTTGATTTTCTTTCGACGATTCGCACAGCTTACGCCAGAATTGTTGATTACTCGTTATACTGAACAGCAGCTGCTAGTTCTGCCAAAATTCCGGTGCATAGTTAACAAAAATGGGAAATCAGAAAATCTTTCGTGCTATGCTTTTGATTGTGATATATACTTATACTTTTACCCTCAATAATCGTTTATGGGCACACAAACGAGCATACACTGATTGGCATGATATCACAATGAATTTCCCCCACCCAATCTCAGACGCTGATCTTGAAAGAAAACAAATAGTTGGAGGAACATTTGAATTACTTCTGCTTCTTTTTATCCATTTTCTTTCGATAGAAGTCCAGTTCCTTGCCTTCCAAGATGTAGCCATCTGCTCTTCCGCACTGTCCCGGGCGGGAACTGACACATGCATAGGCGTATCCTTGCTTCATTGCGTCTTTTAGCACCGCGTCAATTTTCGGAATGAGAATCACATTCACTACTTTCTTAGGTTTCTTCTTCACCACTTCTTCTTTCGCTTTCGAGACTTTACCTCCCTTTTTCGAGTCAACTTTCTTCAAGTCCGCTTTTCTGGCTTTGGCATCCTTCTTTTTCTTGACCGCAGCCGCTTTCTCTTCTGCAGTCTTCGGTGGTTTTACGTAAACGTTTTCAGATAGTTCAGCCAACTCAGCGAACTCTTTTCCTTGCGCACTGCCAACTGCGTACTTCTCTTGATACCACGACTTAAACGCACTTGCGTCTATCTTCACGATACAGTTTTTGACAATAGTCTTCGTTCGCACCATCTCATTGTTAGTCGCGTTGTAAAGCACGTCCAAGATCTTTGCCTTCCGTGTGCAGTGCTCGGATGGCCACGAAAAATTCCCCGTGTCGATTCGCAGCGCCCGCATCTTTATGTTGCCGCCTCGCACTCGCATTGGTCGGATTCGCTCCGGCATAAGTTTAGTCATAGCAGCGGGTCTTCCCAACTCAAACTTCCTCTTCTTGCGCCATTTGTTGAATCGACCACCGGTCTTCTTTCGCTTACTAAACTTCGCCTGCGAGATCCCCATAATTCACAACAAGTTAGTAGTTCGAAATCAAACAAACAAACAAACTCAATTGGACGTCATTCTCAAGATCAAGCGATCTGAAAAATAAAAGACGTTCAACAAACTGTTTTACGATGGCTACTTCTTAACCTTCGCCACAAAGTGAGCCTGTATTCAGCCTCACATGATCTGCGTTTGAAGGCTCCTCCTTCACCTTCACCGCAAGGTGAGCCTGTATTAATTTAAGAAAAGTGTCTTATAAATCAATTCCACTTCATTGATAATAATCACAAAATTAAAAACAAAAACAACAACACTCATCGATAACGAACCACTTCATTATTTGGAGATAAAACTCAAATAACTAGCTGCACTTGGACGCTTTCACTCACTACAAATCAAAAATGTTCATTTGTGCTTTTTTACAATTACTTAATTCAATTTCATTTCATGTTGGTCTCACTTCAATGAAAAACTTGATGCAAGTTGAGATTACAGCACAGATGACAATTTGGTAGACACTTGCATGATGTGAGTGAGTTGCCGATCATACATCTCTTCAACTTGTGTCTCCAGGTATTCGCCAGACAACACCGAAGGCCTCTGAGCAGCATCTGTGTCCATGTTTTCGTCATAATCTGCAGCTGCTTCTTCTTTTAGCTGGAGAGCACTCAGCTTTGTTTTTGGTTGCTAGAAAAAAAAGATTTTTTTTCCGCATTGATTCACACAAAATATAGCCAACAAAAAGTTGGAAAAGAGTTAATGAACACATGGACACAGAAAAAATATATTGATACACAAGAAAAAGGAAAACCAAGGAAAATATACAACGAAGCGAAAAAGGTATTAAATGACAGGAGTCACCCGAAAACACTTGCATCTAAAATGAAAATTGCTAACAGAACAAGAAAATTCCCCAATGTGACAACTAAGCCGACAAAACATCAGCAGACAAACGAAAGTCCGACAATTCAAATTTTCCCGAAAAAAATTATTTTATACTGAAAAAAGGTCCTGCGTTACCTCTATGCCAAGTTGGGAAAAAGTCTTGAATTTGCGAAGGTTCATTAATAAAGCAACTTCACAATTTCTTAGTAAAGTGATATAAAATTTTTTACGGGAAATGAAGTGTAATCTCGCTAATGAAATTAATCCAAATGGAGAAAACTGGTTCAAAAGGCAATTTTTTTTTATTCCGCTGGAAAGCCTGAAAATTGCTGTTTGAGAAAAACAATGAATGATTATTTGAAAAAAACCAAACCGACGGAACACCAGTCGAAACTATGAAGATAAAAAAAATTGAAAGCATTCATAAAAGTTAAACAAAAAACATGGAGTTAATTCACCAATTACCCACGACTAGAAAGCTGTTTTCAAGATATTGCACAGGTATAACATACTGAGCGCTTTTTGGTCGGCAGTTAACGAACGATGCATATTTCTGGCTTTCGGTCGAAATTCTGTCAGTTTTGTTGTCACAAATTTTTTCCTCAAACCTGCCTAATAGACGGAATAGAGCTAATGCACAAAAGTATCAGCTATTTTTCACACAGTAAAAGTGTTGCAAACAACAATGATTGCCGGTTGCTGTGCACGAAGCACAGAATTTTCCGACCAAAAAACCAAAAAAAAAAAATTTTTTTCAAGTCAATTCGTTTTTTGTGCGTGGTGTGACGAGAGTATTTAAACCAAAAGACTACAGTTTAGACAATTCCGATATTTACAGCAAAATAGGTATATTTTGGAAAACAGTTTTCTGCGAAACATGACTAGTAAAAAAAAACAATTAAAAAATCAAAACTTCTGAACTTTTGTAGTTTTATTCCCAAAATGGCGCGAAAAAAATATTTCGAAAAACTTATTTTACTAGCTTCTTCAGGACTTCTTCGTACACTTTATGGCTTATTTACTACTGAATTGTGACTTTCTTTCTATAATAAGCCTCGCTGGAAATAAGACGAAAAATCAAAAATTTTATATTTTCTCGACACTGGGAAGATTTTTGGAACTACGACTGGAAGGGCTTTAATATGATATACTACTCAACCCACTAAGTATTTGTGGTACCTGATTTTGCATGAAAACAAAAAAGTTTTAAAAAAAGTAAAACACCCGAATACAAAGTTCCTTTCCATTTTCAGTTTCATAGAATTCGCTGGAAATTTTGTCCAGAAAATTTTGATTTGACTTGTAACCGCACGAAAAAACTCCAGGCTAAAAAAATCTTGTAAAATCTGGCAAAAAAATTACAGAAGCCGACACCACATTAAATTAACTCAAGGCTGTGCACGTTCGACAGAAAATTTGGACATAAAAACCCGCGCGCTATTAAGCCGACAAAAATTAAAACGAAAGCCAGAAGCCAAAACAGAACATCATTCCGTTATTTTCTAACAAAAAAATATTAGTTTTTGTTAAATAAGGTTTTAAAAGACTTCGGTCGAGCATTTCAAGAGAAACAACATATTGGTAACAACTTCATTACAAATTAAGACCATACACATACCTGAAGAAACACCTGATAAAAATTTCATTTGCAGTTGCATTATTTTATTTGCCAAGTTATTTGCAGTGTGATTCCGGCTGTGATTCAAATCGCATATCTATTTCGATAAAAGCAGTAAGAGTACATCTATATGCTAACTTGCCAAACCCTAATGCCAAATATAATTTCGCTTGGTATTTGATAGGATAATTCTCCTGCCATTTCTTAAATAGATCAGAAGGTGAACTTAAAAAGCAAAACTAAAAAGGAAGGAAAATTGTTATTGCAGTTCGAATTACGACAAAGAGGGCTTTAAGATGCTCCAGCAGTTGTTGGTTTATTTTCTACCAAACAAAACAACATCATGATACATCTCTCGACCCCATTCGATGTTTTTTTGAGGTACCCGACTTCGCATATAAAAAAATTTCACCTGATTCCAAAGTAACTCCCACTTTAGTTGGTCGCAACAATTAAAATATTACTAAATAACGGGCCTAAAGCTGCTAAAATATCTTACTTAATCGCGGTAAAAACCTGTAGACTGATAATTAAATTTAACTTTCATTATTGTCATTATAACTGCTAGTTCAATTATTCGACGCTCGGTTGAATCATAACATAGCGCCCTTAAGATAACATAACTAAGTAGTAAACCTTACCTCCAGCGACTTCCTGATACGATCTCTCAGACTTTTCCTGTACTTTTGCATCGCTTTCTTCTCCTTTCCGTTCAAAAAGTAAAACTCCAAAATGCTATAAACATGCTTGAACTGCTTCTAAAATGAAATGAAATATATATTTTCATCAGAGAATGTGGAATTTCTTTGTTTAAATAAGCTAACTAGCATTAATTTTGAAGATCACACCTTATTTATCTTGGTTGCTGTTTGGCACTGCAGTATCAACTGTTTAGACAGAGGTTTCATTTTTCCCGGGGACTCCATAATCGCGGGGAAGTTTTGGACAATATATTGACAATCCACTGAGTCCCGCATGGACACAAAGTCTTCGGAAGGATCCTCAACTATAATTCGAACTAATTGTTTGTTTTTGACCAGACGCAACAAATCATTCGGCCTACTATTGGAAACTTTTTTTTGCTCCGACCACTCTAGAAGAATGGATACGAACTTTGGATTAGGTCGTTTTTTTAAAATATTTTTTCATCCAATTTTGACTACATCAAGGAAGGCTCGTAGATGGGCTATTGAGGTACCATATTAAAACCCTATTGGCCGTGAAAACAAATTTAAAAAATCAAAAGTTGTCTGTCCCAAGAATTAATGGTGCGAATATATTCCATTTTCAGACTAAATTAGACAATAATTGCTGTAGGGTGACCTTACAACTTTTACTTTCGATAATTTTAAAGCTGTGCATAAAAACTCTAAGTATAGTTGCCGTTATTTCTGACGTTTTCCGCCTAATTCAATCGCATTTTCCAGATTAATTTTCCTGTTTTTTTTTAACTGGAAAAAGCGGGCTGTTTTTTTTACGACCACAAAAAGACCAAACACATAGTGCTAAAAACAATTTGGTCGGAGTATTCTGTGCTACTTGCAGAGCCACCAGCTATCTAACTTCTTTGGAAATTTTTATAACAATCATGTATTTCTATCGATTAAAAGCTACATTTTATCATAGAAGCGAAATGAAGCTTCGCACCAAACGAGATAAAAATACATGCTATGTGAAACAAAAATATATTAAAATAACTTAAACGAATATTTCCCTTTTTTAAAAACTGAATTAGAAAAAAAAAAACCTATTGACAAACACAGGAGGAATCATTAGCACTAAACAACGGATAACTCGGATCAGGCTGCTTTCTTATCACACAGAGGAAACTGAAAAGTGGAAGTCCGAGAGGAAAAAACACAAAATTATGACTGAAGCTAAATTTCCTGAACCCAATTACCTGCACAATTACACGGTGACCTTCAGTTAAAGCAGAAATTATACTTACCAAAAGATAATGCCATTTTGCCGAAATTAGCCGGCAAAATTAAACAGAAAAATGGTAGTCCGATAATAATTTTTTTCGAAACAGCAGAACAATTTTCAATGTAAGATGTAAGAATGACTAGAATACCAAAACTTTGTCCTCTCAAGCATATGGATTACCTGCACGCCAACCGTGCTAAATTAGTAGCTGGAACTTGATGTCTAATATACAACAGAAGCGTAGCTCCGCATCTCTTGCAATACAACGCAAGCGTTGCAATTCAATTGACGAATAAAAAATGAGAAAAATTATGAAGTCGAAAAAAGCTCAAAAAATGATTTTTTTTTTGGAAAAAATGAAAAACTCAATTTCAGAAAATCAGTCGAAACAGCTAGTCGGAACATAGTGGAAACCCAGCATTATGTAACCTTTTAGTGCTTACCAAGTAACCACTTAGCCGACAATACGTGGGTAGACGCCAATTTCAGCCGAAAAGAAAAATAAACGCTTTAAGAAATTGTTGTCATAAAAATTTGAGCGATTAAATTTTAAATATTTTTACACTGCAAACGACCAGGATTCCTTAAAAACAATAATACATTGCTGCCCTTCGAACGACACAAAAATCTGTTTGTAAATTTACTAGCCGACTTTGTATATTATCTTTTTTTGCTTAAATGGTGTATTTCAGCCTGAATGGTTTCACTTTATAAAACAAACTAAAACCCGAATAGCTTTCAATTAGGCCGAATAGCTTTCAAGCAAAAAAAAGTCATGACAAGAAAATTTACAAACTAAGCCGACAAAACATTAGCAGAAATACAAATGCTCGAGAAGTCAACTTTCCGGGAACAAGGTATGACAGGGACTCGAACCCTATTACCTTAGAGGTGAAAGGGAACCGCATTACAAGACCAAAAGTCTAGAAGATGTAAAGTTTCAACAATGAAGCAAGTTCAATTTCATACGCAAGTTCAAAGTTCAGATTTTTAAGAAAAGCTGTTATGGTTAAAAAAAGTCGAGTTGACAATTACAAGACCCTTAATCTTGCACTAGCAAAAGCACGACAAAAAGCAGCTCTAAAATTGCAATAGGAAAAACTAGAAGTAAGCCTTGAATTGGTTAAAATTTGGCTACGTCTCGGATTCGAACTTATGACCTAGAGACTATCAGTCTCACACACTAACCACTAAGCCAAGGATGCTTCATTTATGCCAAACACTAGCCACAAACAAAGGAGAGAACAGGTGCTATGAAAATTCCAATACTAAAAACCGTGATTATAGCAAAAAAGCTACCAAATAAAGGAACACTTTTACTCAACACTTTTATTCGCGAATTAGATTATCAAAATAAAAAGTTCGTTCTAATAAAAACTCGCTAGTTTAAAAAAAACGGATGAAACTGCGATCAAAGCTGTCAACGGAGATAATTCCTGGTCAGTTTATACTTCTGACCATTTTGTCTTTGGGTGTCTTTTACTTTAACTTTACTTTTTTCCGACGCAAAATCATGTACCACAAACAATCATCCAAATGAGCTGAATGATAGATCAATCTTGATTCCGTCAATATTTAAAAAACGTTTTATTAGGGTCAAGAAAACCAGTTTGAAACTTTGCTCTTTTGTCTATTTTCAAATGAGTAAGGCGAGAGGATAGGTGATCTCATATAATCTTTTACAGATAGGCGAAGTTGCACTTCGCATACACAAACAAAAATATGACCAATAACGCTACTGGGAAAAATGAATGAGTAAAACTTTGAGTCTGTATAATTTCTTAAGTGACGCACGCCAATTGTGAGTCTACATAAATGCTAAGTGACGCAAGCCAATAATGACGCATTGGCAGTACCAGTAATTTTGATAGTACAAGTCATTGGCAGTACCAGTCATTTACCAACTAATATGCCTCAAATTGTAGAGCGGACGCATTTTAACCAGTATACAAAAAGTTCATTAAAAACATCGGATATTATCCGTCAAGACAAGATTAATGTGCATAAGATCCGAGACAAATTATATTACAAATAGCACTTTAGCTTAAAGGTATCATGGATATGTAGCGCAGAGGTAGGGAAGGAGACACGCAACAAAATAAGCGGGTTCAAAACTGGGCAGGAGCGTATGAGCTGGTCTTTGATCTTATGCACATACTGCAAAAAAACACTCAAAATGAATACTAATACTTGCGAGTTAGATTGGAAAAAAAAGAGTTCATGCTATCGTATCACACAAGCTTTACTAGTGTAAAAATTGAGATCTAGCTTCCTCATTCCAAAAGTTTATCAAAACGATTTTTTTTTGTAAACAGTTATGTAATTTTTTCAATCTCAACAAGATTTAGCTCGTGGGGTTGTTTTTTTTTGCATAGTTTTTGAAGTTGAAACATTTAGCGCTAATTGCACAGCCACCTCCAGTTTTATTCCAACACTTAATTTTTCGAGTTTAAATGGGTGAAATCCGGGCAGAAGACTGCTAAATCATGAGATTTATTTCACTCATTGACGGAACTGAATTTTTTATCCCACACTTTTGGTATAGAAAAACCGCATATTCAGGTCTTGCTGGTACAATCAAGACAGTCATAGGCATTTTGATGCTTTTTCATTTGACTTGAGCTATCGTAGAGGTATCATTTCCATTGAGTTCATAGAAACCAATACAGAGAAACAGAGAACATTGCAAAGTTTTAACTACAAAAAAATAGCATGCAATTAACAAAAATAAAAATAAATAACGTTTTTTTTTAAATTTTTTTTTGGCTCTGCTCCATTTCTCCTACTTTTTAAATCAATAGTTTTTATGATTTTTTTGTGTAAATGGGCATTGTTACGAGAAGTGTTGTCTGAAAATGAAGAACGATATAGCGCGGACGCATTTAAACTGGTATACGAAAAAGTTCATTAAAAACATCGTTCCCTATCTCTATGCTACAAATCCATGATACTTTGAAGCTAAAGTGCGATTTGTAATATAATAGTCTGTGTTAATATCCTTAGCATTGGCTGTACTTATTAGCTGGTTATAGATCTTATTGCATATGCTGCAAAAAAAGAACACTTTCAAAATGAACACTAATATTTGCTTTGCAATTTTTATTTACTACAGGTAACTAGTTTTCGGAGATTTTTTAGCGCTTTCTTGGCGATAGAAAATTTTGCTAAGGAAAAAACTTATTATAAAACTTTTTTGTTATTTCCTTTTCGAAGACAACTGTAGCCAATTAGGCCTAACTTACTAATCATTGAAGCTGTCGTCTAGATCTTTTCATCACACCACGCACAAAAAAAAAACAAAAAAAAATTGTTTTCTATTTTCAGTTTTTTTTTTTCAGTGAATTGGGTCGGAACTTTCAAGGCTATTTGCACAGCAACCGGCTATCCTTGTGTCCAATTACCATTGATCTGGTCAACAATTTACCGCTGCTAATTGCTGCCTGCTGCATATAGTCGCACTCTAAAGCTCGTCGTTTGTTTTTTTTTTTTCACTACAAATATCACTTTCGACGAAATCAGAGCCGGACAAGAAATTAATGCAACATCCTACACAAATTTTTCCAACTAGTGAACCATAATAGAATTATTCGGCAGTTGATATCGACGAACCTGTTATGTCTTGTACTTCGTTCATGGTTTTCAAATCATCGTAAATCATTCGCAACAGCTGCGACCCATGTCCCTTTCTCAAATACGGAGGCAAAATTAGGAACTGGCTAAAACAATTTTAACTGATCTTTCTGTTACTTCATTAGCCTACTGATGATTTTTGAAACATTTTACCTGACTCGAGCCCTCTTTAAATCAGGGTAGCAATAGAAGAGATAGACGGTACAATAGCCAACAAACGCGTATCTAGTGTTTCCGTTGAGAGAGAACTTGTCATATCTAAAATACACAAACTCAGAAGGACGGATACTTATTACACAGAGACGAAGCAAAGTTTCGCATCACTTGCGATACAACACAAACAAAGCATGACAAACAAGCAGACAGAAACTTAGACAAGAGCCGCTAATATAATTTTTTTTGAAAATGTCGAGAAACTAAGTTCGTTTTTTAAAAAAGATACATGATAAATCAGAAAAATGGTAGTTAAATTAGGATAGAAATAAAGCTGTATTAAATCGGGAATTGTTGAGCAGACCCGTTAAGACAAATAAATATAGTTTCATAAAAACTCTAAAAACTCACAAAACAATTAAATATCATGCTACTAAGACGATTAAGTGTAAGCCGAAAAAAAAACCTTTAAGCCGATTAAACAAAAAATATATATCGAACCCGATTTGGGAAAATTAAAACCAAAATAAACATGTAGCGAAGCAGAGCTTGCGATACAATATCAAAAAGAATTGCAGAGGTAGCCGAAAGCCATCAAAATAAATTGAATAGTGCAATAAACCAATAAAGCCATTCAAGTCGAAGAAGTTTTTAACGTGAACTATAAAAAATCTTACTACGAAGTTACCTGCAACATTATAATTTTGGATATAGTACTCTTGAATGTTCAAAAAGCCGACCTATCAAATAAAATGCCCGCGCAAAAAATCGGCCAAAAAAATACGTCCATATATGATAGAGCAAAAATAGATTTCGAAAAAGCGAAAACTTTAACTTTTAGATTTTTTCAAGAGAAATTTTAGCGATTTTTCAGAAACTTATTGTGCCAATACCTCAACTTAGTAACAAGAACTTGTTTTATATAAGTAAAACAAGGAGGCTAAGTAGCTACAAAAATAAGTCCGGAAGAAACAACGAAAAAAAACGTACAAAAGGCCATGCAGTTGAGGAATCATCAATTTCCTTTTTTCCTCAGTAACAGAAACTTTTCGTGGGAAGTTAACGAACTAACAAGTAAAGAATTAAATAAAGAACGAAGTAAAGAATTGAAAGAACACGACAGTAAAGCAGCTTTAAGAAAAGAAATAAGCCTCGAATTAGAAAAACTTTGCTACGTATTAGCTTCGAACATGCAACCTCGAGATTTGGAGTCTCACGCCCTGCCCTTTCGGCCACGAACGCTTAACAATCAGCAAACACTGGTCACAAATAAATCAGCTACAAATGCTAATATATTGCCAATGCAAAAGCAGCAAAAGTAGCACCAAATACAAATAGACTCAATTTTGCATGCAATAATTTGGAATACAACAAACTGACTTCCACACTAACTTAGCATGTAACAAATCCCAAAGCATAAAGCCACATTATGTATAATTATGCATTACAAAAATTTGCGAGATATATTGAGTTAGAACATTTCTGAAACCGAGTTTTCACTAGTGTTATGTTGTTTGAAACAAATCACTTTCTCGGTTTATTTGACGAATTAAAAATGCATCAACTGTGTTAACTTACTAATATTCGAATGTCAAAGCACATGCTATCAAAAAGCGGTAAAAAAGCCACCAATATTTGCGACTTAGGTTGGCAAAAAAAACTCAATTTTCAATCAATTTTAATTTTAAAAAACTGACCAGGAACCAATAGACAAAAACAAGGTAAATAAGCCAATAAATTCAGTTCAACATCCAAAAAGCTGAAAAAAACTATTTCAGAGAAAAAAATCACATTTTAGAACTTGCAAGAAAGCTCACCTAAGTTCGCTAGTGTGAATAGAACGAGAGAAAGCAAAGTTCTAATAAAATGGCAAAAACAGAATGCTGATTTTTTCAAACTACAAAATCTTAAATTAGGAGCAAAGATAAATTTTTTGGAAAATTATTTTCTGATGTGATAGCGATTAGTGATTTGAAAACCCCGAGACTGTTCCTGAAAACCGTGATCGTTGCAAGAAATTTTATCCACAAAGCAGTTAAAGCAATACAGAAAAAAACCACGAAAACTGCGCATAGACCCAAGACTTCAATTATCTCTGCCAAAAAGAATATGGAAAATGGCATGCAACTCAAAAAACATTTTCGAATAAATCTACTTCTGTGAAGGAAAAACACTTTTTTTGATTTGAACCTCGGAAGTTTTTTAAAGTGTTCCTTAGAAGTTAAATTTCAGCTTTGGCAAAAAAACTCAATTTTCAATCAATTTTAATTTTAAAAAACTGACCAGGAACCAATAGACAAAAACATGGTAAATAAGCCAATAAATTCAGTTCAACATCCAAAAAGCTGGAAAAAAAACTATTTCAGAGAAAAAAATCACATTTCAGAACTTGCATACTCCAACTACATAGCAAGGCACATGTAAGATGTAGGTTGTACATAAGTAATTTACCAATTCTAATTTCCTTCGATTTGACCACATTGTGAACAAACTTACTTACGGGAAAAAACTATAGCATCCGGTTGCAATACCCTTGCTTATCGCATGGGTAAAAATAAATATTGAATGGAACGGGTATTTTTAATGTATACATTCTGAACGCAGGTCTGTTGGTTGAAGAAAGTGCAGCTTTAAAAAAAATGATTTTATGGACAAAATCTTTAGAAGAACAAGTCTATGTTCCGAACTGATAACACTGGCTAAACGCGAGCACAATCATCTCATAGGTAAACATACAGTGCACATTAATTAATCGGAAGGAAGAGTACAGATCACACAAACTCTCGCACTGTTTCATGATCTCATCGCAGTATGACATGAAATCCCTACATTTTTACGGTGCTTTATCTGTAAATTTATCTTGGTATGTGTCCACTTTTAAGATTGTACGCCTTTTTAACGTTTGGTATAATTTTAGACTCTGATGATGAATTTGTTATTTTGAAAACGTTTTGACGATTGACTGTTTTTCTCTTGCAAAATTTAAAAAGAAAAATGAAAAATTTCCGCAAAATATCTTTTAACTCAAATACTTCCACCAATCAGGCTTTAGAAATCGCATTGATGATTATAAATGAAAGCAGCACTTTCAACAAGAGTCTGTGCTACGGGAAGTAGGCCGACAAAAAATAAACAGCTGGACGATGATCCAAAAAAGCAAAAGATATCTAGTTTAAAAGAAAAACAGGTCTCGGTCGAACCACAAGCCTTGGTAGTATCAACCGAATGTGTTACCTCTACGTTAGATGCGCTGGGAGGCTGCTATATTTTTGAACTCATTATGAAGTAAGATGAAGCATCTGCGAAATCTTGTCAACCAAGTTGTTTAGGTGAAAAAAAGTCAAGTACCCGTTTGCAACACCATTTATTATCGCGCGGGTGAAGAACAGAAACATAAATACAAACATTGTATAGAACTTCCACTCGGGGTCATCGTCTTCAATGAAACTGGAGCCATCGATGAACCATGTGAGAAATGTCTGCATATCTTTGTGGTAGCTCAAAAACCCAGGAGTAGTGCTATCTGATTTAAATAGGCAGAAACACTTTTCCTTGTGATCTAAAGAAAACTTTAAAAATTATTTTACGAGAGTTAAAATATAGTGAACTTCAGATAAAAGTTTATATTTACCATCATAACGAGAATATTGAGTAAGCAGCATTCCGTGTGGTTTGAAAGCCTCGTCTTTTTTTAGTTCTTTCAAGAAGTCGAATTCCGACGATATGATTCCATTTGTAAAATTCTTCTTCAAGCTCTCTTGAGGGTCATCATCAACCTAGAAAGATGAATTTCTTTTGTAGCAGATACTGGTACGAGAGCATACACGCACCAGCAGATTTAGGTAGGAGGTGCGAAGGGCGGACGCCCCCACCCCTCAGGGATTCGACCCCTGCCGACCAAAAGGTTCCCCCTTTGTACTTTTTTGAGATATCCATTTTTGGCTGACTGCCCCTCAAAATTTTCTAAAAGGCGCCTTTGGCCCAAAAATATACTAATTCTGAGGGGCGAGCACGCACCGAAAAAACGCAATATTTCGGTCAAAATTTTCCAAAAATTGCCTTAAAACGCTTTTTTTTTGCCTATTTTTGGTCAAAATGGGGTCTTTAGAGTGATTTGGGAGAGCTCAGAAAACCAATTTGGTCGACCTAAAAAAAGTCGACAATATTTTCAATTTTTTCTTTTGAAGATCTGCCCACCCCCTCGAAAAACCCTAGATCCGCCCCTGCATACAAAATTGCACATAATCAAGTAAAAATTTAACCTACCTTAGCTTCAATTGACTCCTCAATTCTTCCTGAATAATTAACGCGAATGAAGCATTTGAGAGTTCCGGCTGTGTAGTACATGTCTATTGCCAGGTCCTTGTATCCAAAAATTGTCTCACTGGCAACATAGTAAAAAAACTTAAAATCATAGAGGTCAAAGCAACTATTGCTCAGAACAAGGCTGTGTACTAACTCCTCTCCAAATATCTGATGAGCAAACTGTGGTTTAAACGTTACGCGATCATTTTCAAAGTCTTCGATTGAGTGAACTAAATAGGAACATGATTCTAAACCAGTCAATAAAAAGTAGTAAGTTTAACTAAGAAAACGTGTTGTCGACCGCTAACCATAATGAAAAGTTATGCACTCAAGTGCTTCACTTTTGAAGGCCTCAACTTGTCCTGAAAAAGCTTGAACCATATCTATCTAAAAAGATACCGAAACTTTCTCATAAAATCAGTAGAAGGAAAGTATTATCATAGTAACGGAGGTTACAGTCAGGAGTCGCTTCATCACATTCATTACGAGGCCAAACTGTGCATTGTAAGCATATTCCGCAACAAGGACGCTCCCTTTGTTCTTTACTTTCCTTTGATCGTTCCGACAAAATTTTCACATGTTTAAAGACTTGTCTCTGGCATCCAGAAACATACAGACACAAAATTGTGTGACATTCGACCAGAATGTGAAAAATGCAATCTCTGCAGAATTCGAATTTTTAGCAGCGAGCCTTCCGGATTGATGATTATTAAGAATTAAGAACGTTATTGGAACGATTGGCCAAACGGTGAGGGCCAGAATATTCTGGTATTATAAAATTTTAAAAATTCGAAGTGATGACGTAACATTTCTGTGTGCCAGTCGGTCATGTCTGGAGGTTTGACCTTGAGAAACACGTAATTTTGGTGTGAAGTTTTAATTTTAAAAATTTCGAATGGAGCCTGTCATGCTGGGTTTTCTCGAACCAACTGAAAACGCAAAAATCAAAAATCAGAACGTCCGAATTAACAATTGCGGGAAACTACTCAAGAAAAAGGCAGGAAATTGCTATTCGCAATTTCTCGATACGAAATAATCAGAGAGTAGAGCTGTCTTATCCTGAAAACAGGAGAATAGAATACAGACTTGAGAAAGGACGACTATTCGAACGGAAAGGAGTGAACATTCAATGGAAGAGTGGACAACTCGAGTGTCCCAATGGTTCATTCAGAAACTTTGATTCTTGAGACAGAACTTACTTCTGTTGTTAAAACTAATTAGCATCAAACTTGTTCAGTTATATTATTAGTTCTCAAGCTGCTTATCTTTTAGTTATTCCTCATACTCAAGTGCATCGACATGTGAGTTCTCAATTTAAATTTCTCGAGTGTATTTTATGATAGTTATGTTGAGATAAGGCGAGTTTCAGGTTGATCCATCTGAAATGGATCAAAGTTCCACTGTCCAATAAGAAGTAACTAAGCGGATTGTTTCGACCCGGTTTTTAACGGCGTTCATGTATTTTGGGTATTTCGAGACTTAAGTATGGGGACGTTTTTATTTCTAGAGTGGGGGGGGGGTATTTTGGTAGTGGCCTTTAAGCTGTAACGGGTTCCAGTCTCATGTCGCAAGCGAACCGAATTGGCTCCGACCGTTCTTGAGGTAGAAAAACACAAGAGATAGTGTCCCTGACTCTTGAGCCAATGGTTATAGGGCCTATTTTTCTTAAGCCTCATGTGTGACTACAGTAGACGAATGTTACACTGAGAAACGTCAGAAACGGCCATTTTGGCAAAGAAATATAAGAAAAACACAACAACATTAGTTGCGCGGATGAGAAGTACGAAAATTGTGAGAAAAAACAATAGCCGATTGCAGAAATAGCAGTGAACACTCCGAGTTGCAACCATTGTGTCGCTACAATAGTTGCAGGGCCGTTGCAGACAACGGTGAAGGGTGGAGGACAGCCTTCCGGATTAAGAGGAAGTCAAGATTAGCGAGCTTGATTCAGTGGATTCAAGAATCCGGAAGGGTTTCGGGACTGAAACTTTTAGCCTGTTATATAGACTTTTAGCTTCTTGTCATGTCCTGATTTGAATTTAATTAACATCTGGATTCATTTTGATAAGGATGAGAAGCTAGGAGTTGGGGGAAAGGGTTGATCCATCTTCGATGGAGATGATGATTTTTATCTACTGAACAAAAACAATAGTAATATAATCAATAGTAGTAGCCCTGTTTTTTGGAGTGACCTCTTGGTCTGGGGATACTGAAACCCAGACATGAGCTCACTATTTCTGCATGTAATCTAGTTAATTTGAGTGTTTTGACCGAAGCCGGAAGCAGTAACGTTTTTGTCGACCCGATGTTAGAAAAGACCACCGAAAGTACTGGCTTGGTAGAGACGGTGAAAAGCATGCAAAGCTCTGTTTAGACGTTAGCCAGTCGTCTTAAGACTTAGTTTTCTTTTCCGTCGATATGTATCTTCCGGGCGAATTTTACATAGATGTTTTTATGGCGCTCCTGGGTGTTATTCTTTTTAACATCATGACCAGCAGAACCGTTAACGAGCACTCCGCGCCGAGCGGATGCTCACATTAACGCCCTTAATAGGCCTAAACCGCCGGGGCGGAAGGGTAGTTCGGAACGCGGAAGCCTTCCGGATTACCGTGAATAGCTTTTAAACTTAGTTAAGACCGAAAATTCACGAACCAGGAAGGGTGGGGGGATTCGCGGTCCCGTCATTTCCTGAATGGTTTGTGACCAAAAACACTTAAAGATATATATAAAACCAAACAAAAATTAGTATAGTACCCAAGAAAAACAAAAAACATAAAAAAAACATACGAAAAAACCAAAAACAGTAAAAAAGTATAAAATCAGTAGAAATCATCACTCCAGACAAGATGTGATCCGACCCCCCCGTTTGTTGTTGATAGATATATTGTTGTTACAGGCATTTATATCAGTCAAGATTGTTGTGATCAGTTTTGTAGCCCGTTTGTGAGGCTTGTACTGTAGGATTATTTGAGCATTTAAGCACGTTAATGATAAATTGCGCTCAATCCGGAAGGGTCAGCTGATTTGCGCTCAATTCGGAAGGGTCTTGGGAGAAGACTGATCGGGCAAGCAGTACAAGGAGCAACAAGAAGGGGCTCAACGACAACAACAATCGACTGTTGGGTATCGTTAGCAAGTTTTGTGTCCCTTTTGGTACAAAAATTAAGATAGTAATCTGTGGGGGGCTCGACAGTGCTGCACTGTAGTGACCCTTCACCGAACTGCGAATATCCGAGTTAAGCACCTTAATTCGGATATTAAACAAACCCGGAGGGGTATAGTATTACTATTATTATTACTTATAGAGCCTATATTAATAGTCTTTTATCGTTTTTCAGTGAAAAACAACGAAAACAGACCGGTTTTTAGGGTCAAAATAGCGATATTTTGATCCCCCCACAAGTCGCGATTTTTGAAATATCGATATTTTTTGAAACGGAAAAAAGCGCTAAGTTAGTGTGTTACATCGTAACTGCACTACCATAATAGATAGAACCGGTTAAGTTTAGTTCGGAAGTGGTTGGAACTAATTTGGAACAAAAAACCAAATTTTCGTGATTTTTGAGAAAACGAAACACTATAAATTTAGAAAACTTTTTGAAATTTTTGAGTTACGACAGTAAAAATAGTTGTTCGGACAACGTCTACTAGTGAATCTACAAGTTTTAAAACCCGCTACCCGAAAGCCTTCCGGGTTGCAGAGAAATCGAACTTAACGTGTTTGATTTGGTGGATTCATCAATCCGGAGGGGTACAGGTAGTATAGTTTTTCTCAAATTTTTTCAACTAAAGCGTTTTAGATCGGGTGTTTTGCATTGAACTAGAAGAGTATAGGCCTTTTGAGCTCGGGTCAATAATTTTTAGGACGAAAGGACCAGATTTGCGGAAAAAGTTAGGCGGAACCTATAAGAGAGAAAATTTTTGAGTTTAGAAGAAAGACGTTTTGGTTAATAACTTTGGAACTACTGGGCATATCGAGTTGATCTTAGTACCAATAGATCAGAAATTAGCTGAGCTTACTGATAGAGACAAAAGTTTTTCGGAAAAATAAGCGTGAAAATTTTTTTGAGATTGTTTTTAGCAAATTCACGTTTACAAGGTAGACCCTTCACGTTTTATAAATTTCTTTTAGAAAAGCCCTTATACCCCTACTAAAAGGTGATAGCGGTTGAATAAAGTAACTTTAGGCTGTGCTAGACGAAAAGGGAAGGCTAAAGGCACAGCAAAACCTTAATCGTGCCGAAGTTAGGCGAGCGATAAGACCCTTCACCGTTAGTGTGAATTGTCAAATAAGAGGCTTAACTTCAATCCGAAAGGGTCTAGGAAAGTAGCACATACCCTTCCTAGTTAATTGAAAGAGCAAAATTGCATCGGAGAACGTATCCGGAGGGGTATAGGTTGAAAGAAGGTAAACTCCGAAAAGCTACTTTTACAAAACCGGAGGTCTCCCAATCCGGAGGGGTCAAAGGTTTTTCAAGTTAGGAGGGGTCCGAATCCGGAGGGGTCTTATAGTTGCTAATTCGGAGGGGTCCAAATCCGGAGGGGTCTTGTATTAACTAACTCAGAGGGGTCCCAATCCGGAGGGGTCTAGATTCTGCCAGTTCGGAAGGGTCCTATTTGTGCCAACCCGGAGGGGTATTATTTTATTAAAGGACTTAGGTAGACGAAAGAAAGACTAAAAAGTGAGAGGTATCAGGTTAGTAGCACACAGGCTAGGTATCAGTGACTGCACTGGTAACTTGCCTTCCAATAAGAACCAGACCAAAACAAAACAGGTCCGAACTCGGATATTCGCGACACTAAGTCTAAATTAAAAAGTGCGTGATTCATTGGTGTGGATTGTAACATAATACGTTTTTGGGAAAAGTGACTGCCCTGAGGATTTTAGTAGGCCTAGCTCGGGCAGTCCAAAGGCAGATAGGTAACATAGTACTCGGTGGGTGCAATAGACGCCCACTTGAGAAAATTACTGCCTTCAAAGTTTTGTCTGTTTGGTGCAGCACCGAGCAGGGAAAGCTTTTTCTTTAAAAGACAGGTTCGACTATTGTACTGCGACAGACTAAGAGCACATTACACGTACGTTTTTTTTCACAGAGGTATTCAAAGTCTGACATTAAATATATATTTTGTTTTTTGATTTTAAATCAACATAAACTGTGCTTGATTGGGTAGTGAGTACACTATCTTTTAAATTGACTGATAACATCATATTGTGCTAGTTTTCAAATCTTACCACCTATAATCGGTTAGTGTGAATAAATTTTATACAAACTGTACTCTGATAACATACAGGGATTCGTGGTCACTATTTAATAGAATCTTGTGAAAATTATTGTGTTGTGACATTATTATTGTTTATAAAACTATAAGGTCTCTAGCAATCGAGTTAAGTATAGG